TGTGTGTGTGTGTGTGTGTGTGTGTGTGTGTGTGTGTAACTTTGAAATCACAGATTTTAGAGTTGATGTTTTAACAGCTTTGTCGTGGAGTGTCCTTCACTCTGGTTGAATGGAGTCAGGAATCTGGACGTACAATATCTTATCACCATACTGTGAAATACTGTGATACTAACTAGAGAAGAAAGAAAAGAACAAGAACATGAACCAACACCAGGAATATTGGACTGGGAGTTGGGGAGAAAATATAAAACAAACAAAAAAAATCCCGGTATCAAAAAAACCACATATCACAATATTTCAGTGTATGGATATATATATATATATATATATATATAATTTTTTTTCTTACAGCCGTACTCACCACAGAGCTCCGCCACGATGATTCCTGTCGACACACGGTACAAGAAGATGCTGTGGAGGACAGAAGAAGAAGAAGAAGATGATGATGAAGGAGGAAGAGGAGGAGGAGGAGACCAGGTGATGTCAGGTGGTTTGTGTTTGGTTATATCACAGATGAATCAGCTGTTGGTTTTTATCCACGCAGTAGTTTTTACGTTTCACATTCACGTCTGATTTGTCCTTGTTCATATTTATCAGAAATGTTTGTCATCATCTAGAACAGCAGAAAAGTCAGTGACTTCACGGTGGTCCAGACCAGGGTGACCGTGAAGAAGGCCAGCAGGGAATTATCGAAGCCGGCGTCGGAGGACTTCGAATTGAAAACGCTGCAGTTCGGACATCTGTCCACGGGGCGTCGCTGTTGCCGCAGCCATCTGAGCCAGGAGCTGCGTGAACAAGAGGAATGTGACAAACGCGGAACCAGCAGTGGTCTGTCGTGGCTGCCCACGGACCAGAAGTAAATAATTCAAACAGAACAGACGGCTGGGGTTTTTATTTTTTTTATCCCTTTTAAGAAAAGTCACAGAAATACAGTCAGGTGGTGCAGGAAAGTAAATCAAACGCACCTACGTGACCGTGTTGTGCTGCGTTCACGTACCTGGGGTAATGATTTCCATCTCAGTTCTGGGTTACAGATTATATTTTTCATTCACCAGTTTATTATATAAAAAATATAAAATAAAAATCCACGATTGAATTTTCTGGAAACAAAACTCACTGATTTGTTTCTTCTCTCAGGTCATCATTTCCTTATTACACCTACGTTCCGTCCACGGGGCAAACAGGGAGCAAAGGTGGTGAGAGGGAGCGGTACAGTACGGTACAGGAGAAACTGGAGGATTCTGGGAAGTCCTGATGAAGTCCTGGTCCTCCCCCCGACCCCTGCTGACCTCTGACCCTCTTCTCCAGCCTCCTGTTGTTCAGAAGCTTCAGGATCAGACCATGTCCTCCAACACTTGACCTCCTCGTCAGAAGGAGCTCAACCCGCTGACCCCCCGTGACCGTCAACCTGCGGAAGTGATGATGTCACTTCATCAAGATGGTTCCAACATTTTAGTTCCACCTCCACAGCACAGTCACGGTCAGTGAAGTGGCCCTAGTGGAGCACGTCCTCGTCCACGTCCTCGTCCATGTCCACGTCCACGTCCTCGTCGTTTCTGTCCTCAGACGGAAACAAATATAGAAATGAAAATGATTGTCTTACTCCTCCAGCCGTAGCTCTGGCTCCTGAGTGGGGTTCCCCCCCCCCCCCCCCTCTTAAGAGTCCGTCTATATCCCAGTTTTCGGTCAGGATGACCTTTGACCTCACTTCCCCGTTAGCTGCTGCGGAGCGTCTTCTGTTGTGAATTCATGGAAGCACTTCTACAGAACAGCGTGTTCCTTGAGCTACCGTTGCCTTCCCATCAGCCCCGGCTCACCTGCCGTTGCACTCTGACCTCTGGCTTCGTCCACGGAATCTTTCTGGACCTCAGTCTGGAAATCCAGGTCCACGAACCGTAGGAATGGAAGGAACTCTCCATGGTGCTGAAGTCTGAGGACGGACGTCATCGTCAGAGGCTGAGGGTGAGACAGAGGGTGAGACAGAGGGTGAGACAGAGG